TTGAAAATGACGACATCCATGAAGTAAGGAAAAATTTCTCCATAAGGCAAAAAAAAAAAAAAATACTGAACATCGAACAGGTTGTTCACGCTGTTTCTCACAGGTTGTCATTAAATTTTTTTTTTAAACTAACGACAATCAAAAATTTTTTAAGAAAATTACTGATCCTCTTGAATGTAGATGAATGTGGATCATCATCATCATCATCATCATCATCAAGTCTTCATCTTAATCAACATTTTAGCCGCATCATCATGACAACTTGTCTCCTCTTGACACGATGCATTGATGAAAAAAAGCAAAATTTTATCTACATCACATCGAATCAAACATTTTTTTTACCTTTTTTTCAACCAAAACAAGACGCCTGATGAACTTGGCTATAGGGCAATTGAATTAGGAGAATTAAAAACAAAAAACAAAAAATTCCAGAGAGTTCAACTCGAACGAATCAATCTGCATATAAACATCATCATCATAATGATTATAATGATCGAAAGACCTTCAACCCTAAATGAAATTCCATTCCAATCCAGATTTAATGATGATTTTGATGATGTTGAAGCAAGATTATCCAGATAGATAATTGTTGTTGTTGTTGTTTTTGTTTTGTTAATTTGGCTACATTGTAAATATCAAAAAATTTAAAAAAAACTAAATCAAAAACACACATTTATACAGTCCATATTGGACATTCCTGGATGAATTTTCAAAAAAAATAATCAACAATTTTGAAGCGAAGAAACAAAAAATCAAAAAGATGCCGAACTGATCAGAAATAATGAAATAATCGATATATGAATGAAAGGCCATCATCATCTTGACAGCCTAATAGAAAAGAAAAAAAAACATTGACAGGATTTTTGGTGCGAATAAGATTGACACATGGCTATCAAATTTTTGGATTATAGGTGAAATAAAAATTGAACGATTTATTTCATGATTAGATAAGTTTTTTCTTTTCAACCCTCCTCGATAAATCTGATTATTTTTTTTCAAACAAAAAAAAAAGAAAACGAAAAAGAAATGGTAACAAAAAAATTGAAAAATATAAAAAATAAATCGTTCATTTGGTGAATAATCCATCACATAATGATGTTGTTGCAAAAGTTTGTCTAGGTTGCATTGTTGTTTTCATAAAATTTGCATACAGTTCATCAATATAAGTAGTACAAGAACCATTTTGTAATTGTTTCATTTCTTCTTCGGTAACAGGTTGATAGTAATGAGCAATTGATTCATCAATAACTGTTTCTTTAGCTTTATTTTGTCCATTATTATCAAGTGCTGGAAAATCATTTGGATTTTTTTTCGAACTTTGATCAATAACATGATCGTCATCAACAATTGTTTCATAGCTAATTATATCAGAATCATCCAAATTATCACCATCAATCATTCCGGCACAATGAAATTTCGAACTATTTTTTATTGAATTGGCTAACAAAACACTTGTTGAATTGTTTGATTGATCTTCAGTATGATGATATTCATTAACTTCAGAATCTGAAGGATTAGTTTGTTCAATACTTGATTCATTTCCAGAATTAAAATCAAGTTTTTTGAAATCCAAAGGAGCAATAGGTTTACAATCAGAATCGATGTTAGGGCGAAATGAATCAAAATCAAATTTTTTGGATTCAAAAGGAACAACATTAGATTCACGATCAGACTTGAACTTAAGGAGCAGTGAATCAAAATCAAATTCTTTGGATTCAAAAGGAACAACAGTAGGTTTATGATCCAACTTAATGTTAGGACGAATAAAAGCAGCAATAAATTTTTTGAAATCAAAAGGAGCAATATGTTTACGATCAGACTTGATATTAGGACGAATTGAATCGAAATCAGATTTTTTGGAATCCAAAGGAACAACATTAGGTTTAGGTTCCGATTTAATGTTGGGACGAATTGAATCAAAATCCAGTTTTTTGGAATCCAAAGGAACAACATTAGGTTTAGGATCAGACTTGATGTTAGGACGAATTGAATCAAAATCTAGTTTTTTAGATTCCAAAGGAACAACGTTTGGTTTACGATCAGATTTGATGTTAGGATGAATAAAATCATCGGTAACAATAAAAACATTGTCATCTTCATCATCAGTGTCATTTTGGACATCTTTCTTCGAGATTTTATCATCTTCATTTTCACCACTATTATCATAATCATCATCATCGGAATCAAGTGAAATGTTTGATTGTTGTTTTGGCTGTTGTTTTGGTTTTTCTTCATTCAAAGTGGCAAATTTACGATTAATACGATTACGTTTTGATTTACGTTTACGTTTGCTTTGCTTATTGACAGCAATTTTTTTCTCAATTACCGGTTTTTTGATCAATTCAGCCTGACAAGTGACAGAAAGTTTACGATCTATAAGGAATAATAAACATTTATTTGAAAAATGTTCAATTCAATTTCATAGTAAACCAACTTTGAAAAGAATAACCATTGTACAGTTTCATAGCAACAAGCATGTCGGTTATTTTATCGACAACCACTTCAGCTTTTGCCATTCCTTTACTATTCATATCGTATAACATTTTAATTGTTTTGATCGAATGAATATCGGAAAGAAGCAAACGAATTTTCGACTCTGAATTCAAAAAAAAGAAAAGAAAAGAAAAAGAAAATTGAAAAATTTTCTCAAAAACAAAATGAAATGATCGATGTGAAAATTACCAGGAATACCAGATTGAAGATTATAAACAGTTATTGTTGAACGATAATGATCATTCAATGCTTTAATCATTTTAGTGGCAGCATTTTTTTTCGAATCTTTTTTTGCATTCGATTCACCAATGACAAAAATATCATTCAATGTACAATCAGTACGGAAAACTAATTTCTCACCCGATGATGATGATGATTTCGATTGTCCCAAATCTTTATAGACAGGCAAAAGCCAACCAATTTTCGAGCATAATTGTTGTAAATAACCGATTGGATCGGAAAAGTTGTCCATTTTTTTCATTGAAATATAAAAAACCAAAAACAAAAAATATTAAAAAAAATTATGATTTTAAAACGCTTTGTTTTTTTTTTGCAAATACGACTCATTAAATACTCATCGCGATGATGAAACACACAATGATCAACTCAAACGCACATGTATCACAGGATGTATGGCTCATTATTAACCGTTTTTTTTTCATTCTCGAAATGATCGAATCAATAGATGGCGTTGTTGGCAATTGTTATTGATTTTTTTAATGTAAAAATTCGAAAATGGAACGAAATGTGAAATTCAATAAAAACATCTTTCAACCGAACCATAAATCAATCGATATTATCAACAACAAAAAAAGACTGACCACACATACAAGAGAAAATTATTCAATATCATCATCATCATCGTTTTTTTTCTCATAATCCTATTTTGAACACATTGAATTTATTTATTTATGGATGATTTGAATGAATGAATGAATGAAGCGAAACAACAACAACAACAAACTCTAAGAACCCAAGATTTTCATCATCATCATCATCGTGTATGTAAAAAACTTTTAGCAAAGTTGAATCAAAATAAAATAAATAAATAAATAAAAAATCGAATCAAACAGGTAACAACAACGAAAGAAAAATCGGATATAAATCCAATAAATAAATACAGATTTTCGCCGACAATTTCTTCATTTGATGATGATAATGTCCAGCCATCCAACCAACCAACCAACCAGCCACATGGACGATATCCCTGTGTGACCAATCGATTTTTACAATTGTACGTTTTTGTTGTTCAAGTGAAATGTGGAAAGCAAGCATATATTCGGGCCATAATCTTGTTGAAGATTAGAGAGAGAGAGAGAGAGAGAGAGAGAGAGAGAGAGAACGAAGTGACTTTTTAACATTTGTGCCGATGTTATTATTATCGCCTAGCTTTTTACATACATAAAAAAAACCAAGAAAAATTACGTGGGAGCTATATTATGGCCACTTTCAAAATACCTACTACATAATGTATCGATGCTTATAAAGATTCAACGATGATGATGATGATGATGATGATGATTACTTACTGATGATAATATTTTTTAATTGAAAATCATAATGTTTTTTTTCTGTTGTTGGTTGTATGGCCACCACCATAACCATCATCGTGACGCCAATTGATTACATCAACGAAAAGAAAAAAAAAATACCGATGACCGATGAACTTTTTTTTTCCTAAACCATAATTTTTTTTAAAAAAAGACATAAGTGTCATCATAAAGTGTATGATCAATACAGCCAACCAACAAAAAAAAAAATATATAACATTCATTTGAATATCATTCTGGTCTGATCTTTGATTGTGTTTGTTTGTTTGTTCACAGATTTTTCATTTACTATTCTATTGTTATCATACTTTCGAAGAAGAAGAAGAAGAAAAAGAAAATATATCTTGCCATTTGGTCTTTGATTAACAATAGATTTGAAATTGAAAACAAAATTGATTGTGTCGATAATAACAGAAGAAGAAGAAACCAATTATTTCAAATTATTATTATTATTTCACATTTAAAAAAAAAGACTAAATCAATAAATATACAAACAAGATAAGCAGTAGAAAATATTATGATCGGATCATACAATTGGGATGACAATAGCCCACATAGATATACCCACCCACATTATTGACATTTTCAAACAAACAAAAGATGAATAGATAGATTGGTAGGTAGAAATAGGGAAAATATATAAAAATGTGTAAATAGAACAGGATGATGATGATCCAAAAATTCAATAGCTTTATCTATTTGTCACACACACAAAAAAAGCTACTGACAAAATCAGGTAGCATTCGTTTGAAGAAAAAGATTTCTAGGTAAGTAAGTTGAATGAATGAATGAATGAAAATTAAGATAGAAAAGAAGATATGAATTGACAATATATTATGAATAATATTGTCATTTTTTTTGGACCATCTGTCAACTGGCTTATTTTTTTCCAACTGGAACAATATTAAGTTGTCATCAAATCATTTACTCAGTTAATCATGAATAAATGATCCTGGAACAACTAACTGATCAAATAATAAATATTTATTTATCGGGTGAAAAAAAAATCTTGAAAATCCTGATGATTCAATTAGCCAAATCATCATTGGGTGATTGAATTTGTTTAATCCAAGTGGATGAAATGAAAAATTGTTATATATTGTCGGCAACAACGAAGAAACGATACAAAACAAAAAAACCTTGGATAAAAGATTTTATCAATCAATCGATAAAAAACAAAACAAATCAAGGTAAAAAAAGCCGACTATTTCGACTTTTTTTTTTGGGTAAATCTTTTTTTTTTGAAATACAATCGTTTCTCTATTCACCTTTACACACATCACATCCTCATTCACCTGTCACTATTTTAACTCTCCTATACATCCCCTTTTTGTGTGAAAAGGTAAAAATTTTTTTTGTTGTTGATCCGATTCGAATTGAATCTTGATTCGATTTATTATGATGATTTTATTACCCACACACACACACACACACACTTGCCAAAAATATATAACAAAAGAAAATAATCTTTACTGATAAAATTGATAAATCAAAAAAATATTTGTGAATATTTTAAACCAGATGTTTTTTTTTGTTTTTGTTTCGAATCCTTAATGTTATTGTTGATGAATATTAGATGTTCTAATACGATTACATGGAATTTTTTTCTGTTGTGTTGTGTTTGTGTGTGCGGAAAAAAACTGGACAAATGAAGTTTGTTTCCCAGATAGAAAAGAAAGGGACACACATCATAAAAATCAGATTAACCTTTTGTCTTGGCCGCCGCCACCGATAACGATAACGACGACGACCATTATCCATCGACAAACAACAATCAACTAAAAACAAACAAGCGAATGAGATAATGACAAAACCTAACATCAAATCGAGATGACTGGAAGATAAACATTTCGGTAATGGTAAATATAAATATAAATTCTTCAATCTCCATCCATCAACAGAATCATGAAGATGTTTTTTTCTGTTTCTGTTGTTTCTTGGTTTGATAATTATTATCCATCGAATAATACAGATTCCTTGATGGTTCATGTCATGATCATCATCGTCATTGTACATTGTATATTGTCTATGGTGGACATTGACAACTGATCATAACCCAAAAAAAAGCAACAACAAGTAGAAGATGGTGGCCGCTTCTTGATCATCATCATTTCGTTTTCTTTCAAAAAAAAAATCGACAAAACGTAATTACCATAATAACCATCATCATCATCATCACGAAGATGATGATTATGATGAGCTATACAACAACAACAACAACAACGAAAACATCCCATGAGTTCATTACGTTGTTGAGAGAGAAAGAAAAAAAAATCTAAATTTTAAATTTTGAATACCGACACCATCATCATCATCACTTTGGGCCAGCAATCTTTGATTCTTGGTTGGTTGGTTGGTAGTAAGCATCAAATTAGCTTCAAACCGATATTATCTAATACACAACAAACAATAACAACCATACAAGCTTGAAGCAAAAATGAATGATGCAAACAGAAGAAAACAAAACAAAAAAAAACTTAAAAAACAACGATGGACAATCATCATCATCATCAGTGAAAATCTTTAAGAAAACATCATTGAAGTATTGCGTGAATGATGAATGCAAATCGAGAAAAGAAAATTTTTTTTTTGCGTAGGCCGTGTATTCAATTCGATGAATTTGGGGTAAAAAAAAGAAAAAAACTTTAAAAATGAACTGACTTGATGGCTGCTGTTATTAGTTATTTTTTTTCAAAATGTTCTGATGAAACATCTTAGATCAGGTTAAAAAGTAGAAGAAGAAGAAGGAAAAAAAATTGAATAAATGACCATCATCAATGGTAGTCATGGTAAAAAAAATGGCAGCAATCAGAATAAAGAGAAAAAAACTACCCGAAGAATCAAAAATCATTGATTTTTTTCCTTCTCTCTCTCTCTCTCTCTCTATCTCTCCATGAAAGAAATCAGAGCATCTTTATTTCTTTTGTTGTAATGTGTTTTGTATTGTTGTTGTTGTTGTTGCATAATGATAACCAAGAAACAAAAATTCGGATCTCTTGTAGAATACTACTATTTTCAATTGTTGATGATGATGATGAAGAATAACAATGGATAGATGAATGAATGAATGAATGGCGATGCTAATCATTGTTTAGAGATGCTACCATCAACCATCAACCATCATCATCATCATTATTATCATTGTTGATGTTATTCAAGTTACCATAAGTTATTTTTCAAATTTTTAAACTAATACTACACCTTTTGTGGAATGAATTTTTTTTATTGTTGTCTCATATTCATATCATATTCAGAATATTTTTTAATGGAATTTTTTTTCTTGGTTAATTTATTCAAGAAGCTAACGAAGTGTGTGTGTCATCAATACTTGAAGGGTGAAGGTCAAATGAAGGAAAAAAAATTACCTGAAACGAAAACCATATGTCATGTTATTTTTTTTTGAATTGAATTAGGGCTATAGGATGGTAGAGAAAACAAAACAAAAAACAAATACCTGTAATTAGCGAAATAATTTCTTAATTTTTTTCCATCGCTGTTCAACTTTTGATACAATTTCCGTTGGTTTTAATCATTTTTGGTTTTGTTGTAAATTCTTTTTTTTAACAACAACAAATCAGATCAGATCAAATCAAATCAATCAATCAATGATTTGATGTTTGATTTCAATTCAATTCAATTTTTGTTGGTTAAAAAAACATATAAACCCTGTAATTATAAATGATTCCAGGTGAAAAAAATAAAGGGTTATCAGTTATATTTATTGTCTGATTCTTGAAGAGAGAGAGAAAAAAAACGATGAAACCATCTGTCTTTGATGAAAACGATATCGAAACGTTTTGGGCAAACGAGAAGAAAAAAAATTGGGTGAGACCTTCAAGATGAGAAAGCCCAACTTTTTTATTTCTTGGTTCAAAATGAGATAATTACCGGGTTTCTCTCTCTCTCTCTCCGTAACCCGAAAACAAAAATGTCAAATCACCACCACTACCACTGATCATATCATTTTGTTTTTCTTGTTGTTGTTGTTTAATGATCTTTAAATGTTTTTTGTCCATGTTTTTCGTGTGAAAATCTTTTCTTTGATTCTTTGATGATAATCATTTTAGACAATCATATCTTGGACTAATTTACATTTCTCACACAAACAAACCAACAAACAAACAAACAAAAAGAACATTAAGACATGATTTTTTTTCTAGTGGACATCATTCCTACCTGAAGACATTGGTCATTAGAATTTCTGAAATGATGATGATGATGATGATAAACAACCATCACCACCATCAGTTTATTTTCGTTGAAGAATTTCTTTTCAAGAAAAAAATTTTCTCACGGATCTTGAATTTGTTGTTGTTGTCGACGAAGGAAGAAAACATCAGGTAAATATGACAGCAGGACAACCATGAATGATTTTTGATGATCCAGATTTTTTTCTTTTTCATCATTTGATACACCTGACATTACATAGTATGAAAAAACTAGACTTTTTTTCAATTTCTTTTTGCTTTTTTTGATTAAATGATGATATTTACTCCGATATATCGAAAGAGGATTATAAATATGATCGAATATGAATGATGATCATCATTCATATTTTGCCTACCACCATGATCGTATTTTACCTTTAAAAATATTGAACCAGATCTGCTACTGGTCTTTTTCATGAACATCATTGATAAATTATCATTTGAATTTTAAATCATCATTTGATGACCACCCCATCATCATCATCATCATCTAGGCCATTTGGCCACCATGATGGTGATAATGGATACAAACCAACTATGTTGATGAATGAATGAATGATGCCAAGATGTCTATGTCGAATATTCATCATTTCATTTTTTTTCAATTCGATCTATATATTTTATCATTATCACCCTGTTTATGTGAATTTTTGAAAACTTCATCATCATATTTTAATATGGTAAACAACGTTGTTGTTGTTGTTGTTTGGATAAAAATAATGATCAAATCTTATCTAAGAAATCAAGAATGAAATAAAATTTATTTAGTTTGGTTTTTTGAATTTCAAAACTCAATGTGTTGATGGTTTGTCATTTTTTACGAAATAAAATTTATTTGAATTTTCTGAACCATGTTGTCGTCGAGATTGTTTGTTTGTTTGTTTGTTTGTTTGTTTGGAAACATCTTTTTCTCTCTCGATGTTGTCATATTTGTAATGACAAATCACCAAAATGGATGAAGTTTCATCGAAGAAAAAAGATTTATATCATCATCTAAATGGCCATCACACACACATAGATAATCCGGATAATTGTTTTCATCTGTTGATGTATGTTTCTTCTTTTGCTTATCAGATTGAATGAAAATTGAAAATTTTTTAATCAAATTGATCAGAACACAATCAATCAATCAATCGATCAATCAATCTTTGTTTTTGTTTTTTTTTGTTAAAGTCATAAATTAAAATAAAAAGATTTCGCAGACATTTTGTGTGTGTGTTTGTGGACAAGATGTGGTCACGATGTGGTGCATTATATTGTACTTGTTGATGATGTTTTCAGAGGAAAATGAACGAACGAACAAAACACCTACGCGTATTTTCGTTGCAAAAAAACAACCAATTCGGTCAAACCACCGATCAAATGAAAATGACCAAGGACGTTTAAAGAAGATTTTATTTCCATTCGATGGTTTTTCTTTTTTTGATTGAAATTTTACGATAAGACGCCATCGACATGGAAAAAATAAAATAATCGATTGCTTAGGGATCAACAACAAACACATTTAAAGCAAGAAAAAACTTTCAGATAAATTTATTCTGTTTATTGCTATTTGAAATTTGTAAATTACCATTCAATTTCGTTAAAACTATTTAACCCTTTCTGTCTCTTTCTCTTTATGATCATCATCAAATGGCTTTTGCCTATAGGCAGGACATTTATTCAGCCGAAAATTCTTTCGTTTTTTTCTTTACTTTTTGTGCATTCAATTCATTCAAATCACACAGGTGTTCATTTTTAAACCTTTTTAAATTTTTTTTAACCAACGAAGAATCATTTATTAGTTGAATATTTCGACTTAATGATGTTTCAAATTGATCTTTCTTGTGTCGTTTTGGTTCAATAACCAATCTTAAGATGGTCATTGATGCATAGCAACCAATTGTCACCCAACAAACAACGAACAAAAACTTTGTTCATATTTTTACCATGATGATGATTTCCATTATCATTCATTCATTCATTCATTCACACATCCTGTCATCATTGACAATATTTTTTCATATCAGATCGATGTGAAAATGATGATTGGTGTGATGGACAGGTGACAACTACACTTGTTGCTGTTGCTGTTTGATTTCAATGTCACTTTTACTTTCAGATTCCTTCATCATCATCATCATTCAGGTCGATAATTGGTAAGTTGGCCAGAAAAAAACGAAAACATCCCACACTTGTTTCTCACGAATTTCTTTATTTTTTCTGTAGATAACCCAGAAAACTATCTTTCAACTATCCTTAGATCTTATGTAACACAAATGGAACACAAAGAAATGGATTTTGTTTTTGGTTTCTTTGGTTCAAAGGTCACTGTTGTTTTCTTTTCTTTAAAACAAAAATTTTTTTCTTTTCAAATTCAGTGTGTCAGGTGTTCATTCATTCATTCATTCATGGCCAATTTACCAGAAACCAAGAAAGACCTTGAGATTGATTTTCACTGAAAACTTTTTTTTCTGGTGTCTATTTAAAAAAAATGTCTGTTTCTCTTTCTTTCAATTGATTTTTTCGGGAATCCGAAAAATAATTCAATGAATGGATTTTTTTTCTCGTTGTTCATTCTTCAATCTTGGTGGTTTTCTTCGTTCTTCGTTTTTCATTTTGGTAAATCGTCAGCGCATTCATTCCATTCAACATAATAACATGGCACAGATGCCATTATGAACGATTCTAACTAACTAACTAATGATCATCATCATCATCATCATCCATCGCCCAGGTGTTTCACATATACACATAGAGAGTTATCCTATTTGAACAACAAAAAATAGAAATTCCATTCTAGTGATGATGATGATGATAACAATATTTTTCATTCATTCATAGAAAAATTTATATTTGTTAACAAAACAAAAATGATAAGGCCTACCGACGATCATCATCATTATCATCATCATCAAAGTAATTGTCCATTTCCTCAATTTTAGTTGGCTCATCAAGCTTGAAAATCCTGAATGAAAGTGAAAAATAAATGAATTTTTCTGAATGAATCTGTTTTTTGTAGGGGGGAGGGGGTTGGTGGACATTATTCACATGTGACTTAGATAATGTGATTTGGTAATCAGATTTGTGTTGATTTTTTGTTTTGTTGAATCTGTTCTCTTTTTTTCTGATTTATCAGTTAAATTTTGTTGTTTGGGTGTTGTCAATGAAGAAATTTCCTTTCAAAAATTTGGCACGTGCAAGTTTTTGAATGAAAAGAAAACCATAGAAGATGGCTAAATGGCTGAATGGTTAAATACAGAATTTTTTTTTCTTCTTTGAAATGAAAAGTTGGTAATCACCAAGCGATTTTCTTCTTTTTGTTTTTTTTTTGCCAAGTAAATTCTCTCAAAACATGAAAAACAAAGACCAAACAGGTAACAAAAAAAAAATAATAAGGTAAAATCCCAGCCTGGAATTAGTTATTATTTAATGATTTCAACAAAAAAAAACATTGATGATGATTGTATTGCATTTGGCCATTCTGTTGAACAATAATAATTTCGATTGGATCGTGACTAATCCAACCTTCTTCAAGATAACCAGCAATATACAGCGAACCAGAGAAATGACCAACCAAAAGTGTTTAAGAAAATGAAAATAAACGTCATACACTGATTGACGAACAACGACAAAATTCTTTAATTTCTAGGTTACATTTCTTTTTCTTGTTGTTGTTGTTTTTATTTCACAAAGAATTACGTTTATTGTGGGGCCATCAATTATTATGGTTGGTCATTATAAGTGTGTTGTGTGTTTTGTTGACTCACCTGCAAAACATTTTTTTATTATTATTGTCGCCCACAATTATGTTTAGAAGAAACGATTCTATCGGTAGCTAAGATAGATATATGTAAATTCTTACCTTATGTTTGTGTTTCATCAATGTTTTTTTTTCAAAGGTATCATGCGATGATAGTACAAAGATTTAGAACCCAATGAAAAGACAATGACCATCTGGCCATCATCATAAGATGATAATATTCATCGAAAAAAAAATAGACACAAATGATACAAAGAGTTGCCGACTTTTGATATTTTTCTTTCTTTTTTTTTTGTTGGACCAAAAAAAGAAAAGAGAAAAACGTTTCATAAACGATTTCAATGATGGTGGGAAAACAAGTAAACCAAACAAGCAGCCAAATGGTCAAATGGTTTAGTATATTCAAAAAAAAAGACCCTTGGGCCTTTAAAGTCGGTATTTTCAATTCTTATTTGTAAGAGTGGTGTGTATGGTGTTTATGCAAGATACATTATGGTAAAATGAATGAGTGTGTGGGGGGCATTCATTTCTTAGGACTCCCACCGATTTTTTTTCTCCTATTCTATTACTGTTGTTGTTGTTGTTGTTATGTAGGACAGCTGCAAATTTACGGACAAAATTCAAGGACAATAATAATAATTATGCCAAAATATATATAACACCTTGTAGTAGGTGGAAATCATTGTAGGTAAATAGGTAAATTTGAAATTTGGCGCCAAATTTTTTGCAAACAAACGAAACGAAATTTTTTTTTCAAAATAATAATTTTTATTTGATTTATAATTTGATATGCGTAGGTGGTGTTTGGTTTTGTGTTTTCTTAATTTGATACATAAAATAAAATACAGGATATGTTTTGTTTCGTTCAAACAAAAAAGATAGTTTAGATATGTTACAAGTGAATTAACAAAAATTTTTTTTTTGATATTCAAAACAAACAAAGTACAGTTTGATGCTGAAAGAACTTTGAGGAGAGGAGGCAAAAGGAAATGTTTGTTTTGTTTTTAAGCTAGGAGGAAAAAATTTTTGAGCATAAAAAAGCCAGAATTTTGGCTTTGTTGTTTTGTTTTGGTTTTGGTTTTGAAGATTCATTTGATATGTTTACGTTCTGGATTCTTTGGTATAATAGCTGTTTTTTTGTTTGTTGCAGAAAAATATTCTGTGAGATTCGTGAATATTATTTACAGGTTTTTGTTGAATAATCACACAAACAACAAAATTGATTTTGTAAAGAAAAAAAGAAAGAGAATGGACTTGTAATTTATTTAAAAAATTGTTGCCGTAATTCAGGTAATGATTGACAACAAAGTTTATTTAATAATTGAGATTCAAGATCACAGATAAGTGAGATCGCTTCGTTAATTATTGTCAAATCGGTAACATTTGATTGGCCAGCAATCGATGGTACAGAATCTCGAAGACGTAAAAATTCTTCTTCAACAGCTGGATCATATGATACTGGTGTTGTTGTTGTTGATGATAATGATTGTCGATGTTTTGATCGTTGTCGTCGACGTCGTTTTGCTGCTTCACGTGCTGATGTTGGTTTTTCAAATTTTGAACTTGATGATCTTATTGTACCCGATGGAATGGTCATCATCGTGGTGGTCGTCATTGTCGTTGGAGCAAAAGCTTTCAAAATAGCCATACGATCTAATAGAATTGAATCACTATTATTCAATATTGGTACACTATGTATATCGTTATTATTGTTATTTAAATCGACCATCGGTGATGAATTATTAATTGAACGTAAAACCGATGTCGATGTTGTTGATGATGATGATGATGATATACGACGATTTGTTGATGTTCGATGTCTTGTTGTATTGTTGTTCAACAATGACGATGGTGATGATGATTGTGAACAAATATGATTTGATTGCTGATTATAATGATGATTTGATGATGTCATTCTGAATATTTTTTTTTTGTTTTTGACCAGGCACTTAAGGTGATTGAATGAACCAAAAAAAAAAAAAAAATGAAAAAAATACAAGTTTTTTTTTGTTGAAACAAATCGAAAAAATAATCAAAGTCCGAAATTTTCAACGAAATGTGATCTCTGTGTATATTGATCAAAACGAAAAAAAATGAAGAATGATTTTGTCTCTTCAAATGTGTTGGTCATTTATATACGGACGAATGTGGACGACAACAAACTTTGAATGTGAAAAAAAAGGCTGTCGTTGAAATAAGAAAAAAAAGGCTGTAACCATCAACAACAACAACAACAACAGAAAAAGAATAATAATAAAATGTATTCCCAATGAGGATGGCTTCAAATTATTTTGTACACCTGGACAAATGAAGGCGGTCTTTCAATCATCATCATCTTTTACAACAGTGAATATCTTTTCAACAACAGGTAGCATATTTATAAATGGTAGTCATGGTACACGTTATGCCATCTGATGAGTAAAAGAAAAAAAATTGGAATATCAATTGATAACTTTTGAAATGATGTGCCATCTATTGTCGTTGGAATTGAATATTTTTTTGGAAAAAATTGAAAAATAAAAAAACAGTTTGCAAATTGCGTCGTCCGGGAATCGAACCCGGGCCGCCCGCGTGGCAGGCGAGCATTCTACCACTGAACCAACGACGCCCGAATGATATTGAATGTACAATCAAAAATCCCAATCAAACTGTTTAAACACCTTGATATAAGAAAAGTGAATAAAAATGTTTAAAAAGTTTCATTTTTTGGATTAAATCTAGCCATTTTTTTAGTTTAATTATTGATTTAACTTAATTACAAAGTATTCAAAAATCATTTTATTTTTATTTCTTCGAACAACAAGAATGTTTAGAATTTTATTATAAATTTCACTAGCTATTAATTATATTTTGTGAAATTTATTTTGTTTGTTTGGTTTATTTTTGTTTTTTGTTTTTAAATTCTGTACTTTAAATGATTAAATTATCTTTTATAGATAACAAACGGTTATTTTCACACTTGTTGATGAATGTTGTTATAATAATCATCATCATCACTATGAATAATGTGTGTATGGCATATAGCTTTATTTCATTTATTTTGCATGGTATTCCTAATAATCAAACTGAATGGGATATTGTACGATATCCATATAAATCAGTTTATGGATTACCAAAATCATTGAATTGTGATGAATCAATTAGAAATAGTTTTTATGAATGTGAAAAATCATCACATCATACTTGGAAAATCACCGTTGATGATTATGTAAGTTTTATCCAAAATGTAACATTTGAAATTAATTTTAAATTGAAATGGACCAATATTTTTATTATTGTTATCTTTTTTCGAAAGTTTTATGAAACAAAGGAACTTTGCTGTTTCATTATGGAAACGATGAATTGTGAATCGAATGTTGCAAAAAAATGTAATGAACAATATTCGAAAAAATTAGAATCAAATACAAGAGATACATTTAAAAAAGTATGTGATAAAATTGTTGGTTCTAATTATGGTTGGCATTGTTGGTGGACAGAAGAAAGACAAATTAAAGCTGGTATTGTAGCTTCAATAATTGTTTTGGCTATTATAGTGATCTGTGCATACACTGGATATCGAATTTATAATGATAAGTAAGTGTTAAATTTTTTATTTTTTATTTAACCAATGAATGTTTTCTGACCAAATCATTTTTTTTTTGATAGAAAAATTACTAAATCACCTAATCCTATGGGTCCAGAAAAAGTTGAATTACCACCAACAACAACAAATATTAAACCAAAAAGTATAAAGACAATTCAAAGAGAAATAATGAATGATTTATATCCAATGTCAATTGAAACACCACCGCCAACACCACCACCAACATCATTATCATCATCAACAGCATTTCAATTTTCATCGAATAATTTCGACAATATTATTGATCAAACTAATATAGCAAATAATATTTCTCAAATATGGATAAATTGAATATTACCTAAAACCAAACAATTTCTGTTAAATGAATTGAATTTTAAATTATTAAATTTAAAAAAAATAATAAATTACAAATTATAAAAATTTAATTAGATTTTTTTTGTTTTAAAAAAAACTAGAATGGTTTGAATTTTAGTATAAATTTGACTAAACATTCATCAATATTTTGTGTAAATTATTTTATTTAATTTTTTTGTTTTTGAAAAGTTATGATTAAATCATCTTTTATTGATAATAATAATCATAACAAACGGCTATTTTCAAAATTGTTGATGATCATTGTCATAATCATCACTATGAATAATGTTTGGATGGCAAATGGTGGTTTTTCAATCATTTTGCATGGTAATAATCAAACTGAATGGGATACAGTACGATATCCATATAAATCAGTTTATGGATTACCAAATTCATTGAATTGTAGTGAATGGATTAGAAAACGTTTTAATNAAAGTTTTATGAAACAAAAAAATTTTGCTGTTTCATTTGGGAAACGTTGGATTGTGAATTGGATGTAGCGACAGAATGTAATGAACAATATTCGACAAAATTAGAATCAAATACACGAGATACATTTAAAAAAGTATGTGATCAAATTGTTGGTTCTAATTATGGTTCGGATTGTTGGTGGACAGAAGAAAGACAAATTATTTTTGGTATTTTAGCTGGAATCCTTATTTTGGCTTTTATTTTGATCTTTGCAATCGTTGGATGTCAAATTCATCAACATACGTGAGTGTTATTTCTGAAATATTTAAAAAAAACTATTTGACAATTCGTTCTTTGATCACAACAATTTTTTAGTAAACTTGATGAATCACCAAACTATCCAAAAGCAAAAAAAATAACCGATCCAAAAAAGCTTCAAAAATTGAAAGAATTTTTATATCCAGAATCAATAGGAAATATTCAAAAACCAGTAGAATTAAGTGCAGTGAATCTACAATCACCAAAAACAATAACTGTTCAAAATATTGGACAAGCAAGAGATTATAGAATTTTTAATGAAATAAAAAAAATGGATTTTCCAATTCAACCGGAAATGTTGGATGATTTTCTACCAATACCGAATGTAAACGTTCCATTAATAATTATAACGCCACCAACACCACCACCATCACCACCACCATCACCATCATCAACAATACAACTACCGGTTATTGATCAAGCAAATGTAGCAAAAAATATTTCCGAAATGATATTAACAACCAATATTCAAAATACAAAATTATTATAAATTTTTACAATATAAACAATGTGTGTTAACCGAATTACTAAATAATAATAATAAATAATTACAAATTATAAAAATTTAATTTGATTCTTTTTCAAAAAACTACAATGGTTTGAATTTCAGTATAAATTTGACTAAACATTTATCAATATTTTGTGTAAATTATTTTATTTTAATTTTTTGTTTTTTAAAAGTTATGATTAAATCATCTTTCATGAATAATCATAACAAACGGCTATTTTCACACTTGTTGATGATTGTTGTCATGATCATCACTATGAATAATGTTTGGGTGGCAAATGGTGATATTTCATTCATTTTACATGGTAATCATACTAATCAAACTGAATGGAATACAGTACGATATCCATATAAATCAGTTTATGGATTACCAAATTCATTGAATTGTAGTGAATGGATTAGAAAACGTTTTAATCAATGTGAAAAATTATCGCATCATAATTGGCAAATTACGATTGATGATTATGTAAGTTTTATTCAAAATGTAACATTTGAAATTGATTAATGAACCAATTTTTT